AAATAAACATGCCTAAAGGAAATGAATTCATTTAACAAATATTTATTGAGGACCTATTATTTTCCAGGCACTATTTTGAGAAATGCAAATTAAAATGGCCTATTAAAATGCAAAACAAATGAGAATAATAAAGTCATGGCTGTAGTACTGGAGAAAAATAGCAATATCTGGCTGATTGTATTGTAAATTGGTTCAGTTTTTCCAGAATATAATCTGCCCATCTATTACAAGAGTTATAGAAATGTTTCTACCTTTTGACCCAGTTACCCCACTTTTGGGAATAACCCTCAAAGAAGTAACTTAAAAAGAAAGACGAAATAATTTTACTAGGATAAATATCGCAGTGCTGCTCTTTAGTCTTGAAAACTGACATAAAAGGGCACAAGACTGAAATGCATATTCATGACCAACATGAATGTATATTTGTACATTTATAAAGACAGACGGATAATTATATTCACTTATCTATTCAATATTTATTAGGTCTTTTTGTGGACCAGGCAGTGCTATAAACCTGGAGGTAGAGTGTGCAACAAAAACCCAACAAGGTATCTACCACGGCCCCTGGCACTTTTTATCAAGTATCCTTGTATGATTTAGAAAAATGTGGCTTCTCTGGCATATCAAGCATTGTGGGCCCAGAGCTTGGCTAAAAGGATACCTCCCCCTTTTGCAAAATAAGGACACTTGTGCTTGAGGGGAGCAAATGGTCAGAGCTCATGGCTCAGGAGCAAAGTACACCTGGATTCCAAACCCTGCTCCTCACTGGACATCTTGATGCAGAGCATGATTGGCAGTCAAGGTTTTTGCAGATGAGTGAGGAAAAAAGACATTGTAGAAACAAGTTAACTAATGAATACATAATGCAAAGATAAGTGTTTCAAACGGAAGGAATATAGCTTGACAAGAGACCTGGGAGATCCCTGTGGTAAGGGATCAAGGTTGTTGTTGTTGTTGTTAAGTGCTGTTAGTCACTTCCAACTCATAACAACTCTGTATACGGTTTCCAAGGAGCGACTGGTGAGCTTGAACCACCGACCTTGTGGTTCAAACATACCTTGCAGTCCAGCACATTACCCATAGCACCACAGCCTACTAAAAGCTGAAATCTAGGAAAAGGTAAATGTATCTGGACAAAAGTAACAGCATATGTGAAAAAAACTCCCTGTGACTAAATCCTGTGTGGAACATTCAAGGAACTGAGAAAGTCAGAACGTCTGGATTCAAGAGAGCAAGGGAATGAGGTACACCCTGCAGAAAGAATGCAGTAGGAATATTAGGTAGGGGCTGGACCCTGCAGGATCATAGAGAACATGATTAGAACTTTATTCTTATTCTTGTGAATGGTATGAAGCATCAAATAGTTTTAAGCAAGTGGGCAGGGTCAGCTTTCCAAAAGTTACCTCTGGAGACAGTGTGGAGTCTGCATTGTGGAGAAGTGTGGTTATTGGAGTGGGGAATGTACAATCGGCTATTGCAATTGTCCAGCAGTGGTAATTTTGACCAAAGTGGAGGCAATGGAAAAGATAGGAGGCAAATGATTTGAGGGATACTTATGAGATAAGATCGACAAGTCTCGTGGTGGACTGACCAGGTATGATGAAGTAGATGGCAGTGTCAAGCATGCCTCCTTTTAATTTTTCTGTCAAAATTGAAAAGATAGTAATTTCAATCGTTTGGTTTTACATTAGTTTCCTATGGCTGCTATAACCAGTAGACCACAAACAGGTAGCTTAAAACATCTATTTTCTCACAGTTCTGGAGACCAGAAGTTCAAAATCAAGGTGTCCGCAGGACAGACCTCCCTTGCAAGATTCCAGGGGAGAAGGTTTCTTTGACTCTTCTTGTTTCTGGGGGCTTCAGGTGTTCCTTGGCCTTTGACTGCCTAAATCCAATCTCTGCCTCTATCTTCAGATGGCTTTCTCCTTTTCTCTGTGACTTCTTATCTTCTGCCTCTTAGAAGGACATTTTTCTCTGGATTTAGAACCCACCTGAATAACCCAGGATGATCTCTTCTTGAGATATTTAACCTAATTACATCTGCAAAGGTTCATTTCCCAAAAAAGGTCACATTCACAGGTTCTGGGGTTGTCAAAGTCAAAGGCTACTTCAGTCCTCAATAAGCGTTTGTGCTGAATTCATCTTGTGTATATTCTTATTATAGTGAACAATCTATACATCTAATCAACTGGCATTGAAAACTTTCACTTATTTGTCTTACTTTCACTTGTTTGTAGGGTTCTTGAGGGCAGGAATAATTTCTTGCTCACCATTGTATCCTAATAGTTGGCAGTGTGCTTGGTAAGGGAAACCTGTCTGAACATTCTGTGGCATTTAACATTAAGCTTTAAAGGACCCCGAATACAGTGTGTGTGTGTGTGTGTGTGTGTGTGTGTGTGTGTGTGTGTGAGAGAGAGAGAGAGAGAGAGAGAGAGAGAGAGTTCAAAATGAACCATTATTTGAAAAAACTGCAAAGTATTTCTGAAAGGAGGCAGGGTATACATAAAGATCAATGTTTATTGTATACTTTTTCATGTAGCTGCTGCTGATATAATGATGTATAGATAGTTCTTGTCTTTTAATAGCTCAGTCTGTGGGACAGCAATCTGAACAAATTCACTATGGATCAGTGGTGAATACTGTATTGAAGGCTTGAAGGGAGTGCTATGGAAACATAGGACAGGGAACAACTAATTGTTTGAAGGCAGTTGGAGATGACTTCAAAGAGGTAACAGTTGAATAGGAATGAGTAAGAATTTGCCAGGGGGAGGAATTTCCAAAAGATGAAACCAGTGAGGATCCTATTGGAATCTTAATAGTAATCCCAATAAATGCAGATGTGTTTTAAAAAGCATGAGATTTTAACAGATGCAGAAGGAATATAGAAAGTGGTTAAATACATTCAATGACTAAGACTTGTCATTAAATGTAAGAAAAGCCGTGTAATCAGAAACTACTACAAGGCCATCCTCAGCAGACCCTGAAAGTCAGACAAGAGTACCGAAGAACAGCAGAAGAGGCCAGAGTTATACGGGCAAAGTGGTATAAGAGAACTCATGCTAAGCAAAGTGATTGGTTAGTTCTAAGTTCCTTTCCTTATATGGCACACTGGGAATTTAGGTAGCCATGTCATTTTTGCAAGAGTGGATTAGTTGATTTAGGTTTGTGCTCCTGGGAAGGACAGACATTTATCGGAACTAGATACTAACCAGATTTTGATTTTCTGACATAGGATTTAACATAAGTTACTCCATTTTGGGTCTAGTAGAGTCAGGCTGGACTTCTGAAATGGTGTTGTGAATTAACACCAGACTGAAAACCACAAAGTTGGCAGTTCAAACCCACCAGCTGCTCCTTGGAAATCTTCGACTCCATGGTACTTTAAAACAACAACAAATAGTCAGGTCAAGTGTGAGAACTCCACCACAGCCAAGCCCAAAAGCTCCTTATTGAGCATATTTAGAGTTTGCTAGCCTGTTGGTTCCAGTTTTATTTGAGAAGTTGCTGTCAGGAGTCTATTTCAATTGCAACTCAGCAGCACCTGGATTCTATTCCTAGGGTATTTCCTCCTGTGATGTTAATACAAGCAATTAACATACTTGTATTTATGAAGCTTTATTCTTTAGAGAAAACTCAATTCTTGGGAGAGGTCAGCTAATTAATTTCTACAAAGCTTTTGTATGTTTTATGACCTTCAAGAGTATAGCGATTATTAAGTCACAAAAATATTAAATGAGTTTTATAAAGGTTCCCAGTGAAAGGATGATTACTGTTGTTGTTAAGTGCTGTTGAGTTTGAGTTCGTTCTGACTCATAGTTACCCTGTATAGGGTTTCTGAGGAGTGGCTACTGAATTTGAGCCTCTGTCTTTGTGATTCATACTGACCTTGAGGTCCAGTGCATTATCCCACAGCACCACACCAGGAGCCAAAAGCATGATAGAAGCAGGCAAACAACTCAAATCTTTGACTTTTTAAGAAGTTTTCCACTACTGCCCCAGGGGGATGACCTTCTCAGAAGTGGCCACCCAGTTGTTAAGTGAGGAGAAAAAATAAAAGAGAGAAGTCATATTACCAGCAGAGAAATAATATGCTTCAATATTCTAGAAGTCATCTAAAATTATCCAAATAACTAGGTTCCCAAAATAACTTCTCAGCAACCATGATATTAGAGGTTGTATGGCTTTTCTTTTGTGGTGTGGTAGACAGATCAGTGAACCCTGATCTATGGTACTTGGTTTTGCATGTTGGCCCCATCAGTTATTAACTATGGTATTCTGGGGGAAATTTTTGATACTACAGATTTGAAGTTTTCTTAATTGTGAAATGAATACATGAATAACTTCCCAATAGTGTCCTCTTCTCTCCAACTTAATATCTAGCATTCTAGCTCAAGATGCCATCATCTCTCACTTGAGCCCCTGCAACTGACTCAGTTTCATTTGATTGCTCCAGATACCAGACATTGTTTTAAGTGTTTTTCATGTATTAGTATACTTACCAGCCATCCAAGATTATATATATATATGTTATTGTTATTATTATTGAGATGAGGAAACAAGAATAGAGGGGTCAAATAACATGCCCAAGGACTGTAGCTAGTAAGTGGTGGAACTGGGTTTTGAAATCAAGCAATTTGGTTCCACAACAAAGGTTGTAGCACTCATTTACGGAAAACCACCTTCTTAGCCTGACATTTAAGATCTGACAACAATCACAAATTCATTAATTCATTTATGAACTCTTTCAACATATATTGAACATATATCTTAGGTCCTGGAACTATAGAGCTGAATGACCCAATCCCTTTTCTTAGAGTATGGAAAGTCTTTTGCGTGAGAGAAGAGGATGAACAGAAATGTGAAAATCCTTATGTTACCAATACTCTTAGTACAACAAACCCTTAATATATCTGAGCTGGAATTTTACTTCTTTTATAACCTAGACTTTTATTTTATGACAAATAACTGACTGCCTTAGATATGAGTTATCTTTCAGTTACCTGATTTCTCCAAACACAGCCCCAGCTTTCAGAGTAACCAGAACTTGAGCAACCTTAGGACCTCCAAGAACTTGGACTTCTCCTTGCTTGATAATATACATTTCTTTGCCAATTTCTCCCTGTATGTCAAATACGAAGAGCTAAGTATTGATAACTATAAAAGGAGTAAGTGAAAAAATTTAAAAAACCAAACAAACATACAAAGCAATGTAAATGCAACTGTCTTAGTAACTGAGGCAGCTGTATAAACATTGGTTAGACATATCACTTAAAAGGAAATTATTAGGAAGATGAACACTTCCCAACATGTGAGTGTTGTGTGCCACTACTTGGCATATGCACACATATTTCAGTTAGCATGTCATTCTAGGAATGGACATGATTGTAAGCATGACTGTGCCTTGCTTTGGTGACCACAGCTTTGAGGAGGGTGCTTAGTCTATCCAAAGAACAGTCATTCAAATGTTAACTGTACTCTTCTGCCTGGGGTACTGAGGAATACTTTTAAGAACTGATGCATTGGAAACTTTCAGGCTATTATTCTTATTCCATATTGAGAGGAAAGTGTTAATGTAAAAGGTTGTTTTATTCATTCTTGCTTATCTCTGGGGACTCTGGAAGCTGGGCAATGACCTCTGTTGAAGCCCTAATGACAAAACTGGAATGTTCTTACAGTCACTGGTTAATGATGTTATTCTGTATGCCTAAGGCAGTGGGCAAGATGTACCAGACTGCAGCACTGCTTAATGGAAACACCAAGACTTGTGATGTGTACTTGATATGGTAGAGCTATGTGACAAGCCCCATTTAAGGATTCTGGCCCCAAGACTCAAGTGGGCTTCCCTAGTGGGATTGTTTTGCCATGTCTCTGTTGTTCACAGCTGGGAAGAACAGTGCATCCTGCAGCCTTAGTGGAGGGAGGATCTAGGAAGTCTGACCTGATCTGACCGTTCTAATCGTTTCCCATGCATATCTTTTTTCTGTTGTTTCTGTATCCCAGTCTTTGCTGCATTAAATTTTAGGTCATACATATCACTTTGAGTTGTGTGAGTTCTTCCAGCCAATCACCAAACGAGACACTGTGCAGTTTCTGAAACACTCTCACTACAACTTCCCAAAACGTAGATAGTCTGACAAGAGAACTGATGGTATTTGTGTTAAAAAAAAAGCTGCAAATTCCACGTAGGCTGATTTGTATGTAATATTAGGCAATTTCTGGTAGCACAGTGGTTACAAATCAGGCTGCTAACCACAAGGATGGCAGTTCAAAACTACCAGTTTTTCTGCGGGAGAAGGATGAGGCTTTCTGCTCCCGTAAAGATTTACAGCCTCGGAAACCCTGTGCAGGGTCACTATGAGTCAGAACTGACTCCCCACAGTACTTAACAACAACAACAACTTGGATATTAGAATCTATGTAATTTAATGAGTTGGATCTTGCTCACAAAAAAAAAAAAAAAAAAAGTACATGAAAAAATAAATCCACTTGCAGGATTCAGGACAGGATTCGATTATTTGAGTTAATCAAACCTTCTGGTTGACCATATTTTCAAAGGATTGTTGTTAAGTGTAGTTGAGTCAGTTCTGACTCATAGTGACTCTGTATAGGGTTTCCAAGGAGTCCTTAGTGGTTTTGAACTGCTGACCTTGTGGTCAACAGTTCAGTGCTTATCCTACGGCACTACTATTTCAAAGGATTAGAATACACTAAAATCAACTCAAGATGAAATAATATGCATTGTAGTTTCTGTCCTGAGATGACTAAGACAATGACTACTTGATGCCAATACTAGTCCAGAGCTTGATAAGCATTCATCTTTGAATTAAGAAATTAAATTTACTCATTCTCTGGGTAGTTTCAAATTTCTGTAATGCCAAAGGTTATCTTTTTGAACATTAGTTATTGATATATTATAATTGTGAGATTGAGTTTAAAGTTATCAGACTCCATCTCTTAGTTAACATATGGAAAATCAAATTTCTCATGAAGGAAAATCAAATTACCTTATGAAGAAGGTAAAGTCTATGTAATTTCCATTTTGCACAAAGAAAAACCAAGACACATATTGAGGCTTGGCACATGAGCCAAGGTTCTGTTACAGCTGCTTTAAATCCATTGCCAAATAAACCAAGGCCACTCGGAGAGGTGAAGCAGAGTTTCAGATTTTATTAAGCTGGTTGGCTCAGAGGAGCTAACTTATCCAGATTCTATGCCCCTAGTGCAAGTCAGTTCAGGCTAATAAGGGGATAGTATTGGGGTGGGGCTAGGTTGTTTAAAGACAGGAGGAAAACCAGAAGATTGGTCCTGCTCAGTAACCTGATTATCATTCTAGCTTGTCTCCTGGGAGGGGAGGGCAGTTCATGCTTTCTGGGTGGGGGAGGCAGTAAGTTAATGTTTTACCTTTTCCTGTTCAGTTCCATGACCCAGTTATTAAAAGCAAAAGAAAATCTAGAATCCACATCTCCCAACTGAACATTTCAAGATGTTTATATTTTGCATTGTGCAATATAGTAAGCATATATTAGTATTCAAATATAGATCAGAGTAAAATTTCCAGCATAGATAGATTTTGTTATAATGGTGTAGAAATCAGCACTGGATTATGAATCACTAGGTTGGCAGTTCAAACCTTCCAGCTGCTCCTCAGAAACCCTATACAGGGTTACCATGAATCGGAACCCACTCAACAGCACTTAACAACAACAATATTCACATAATATTGATGCTAATACTAATATCTAGTATTTTACAAAAAACAATATCTGATGTTTACATTGAGCTTTATTTTAATTTCTTTATTTTTCTATTAGAACATGCTCCTTTATAAATCTCCAGGAATTTTCATAGATATTAACTAACTTATTTCTTACAAAAACCACCGTAAGGCTAAATAGGGACAACATCTTTCTTTTTAATTAAAGAATTGGTAATTGTTGTTGTTAAGTGTCATCGAGTCGGTTCCAACCCATAGTGATCCTGTAGAACTCCAAGAATTGGTAGTGTTGTTGTTGTTGTTATGTGCCGTGGAGTCGGTTCTGACTCATAAGCGACCCTGTACAGGGTTTCCGAGGCTGTAAATCTTTACGGGAGCAGAACGCCTCATCTTTCTCCCGCGGAACAGCTGGTAGTTTCGAACTGCTGACCTTGCGGTTCACAGCCCAATTCGTAACCACTACGCTACCAGAGCTCCTTAAGAATTGGTAGTAGAGGGTTGAAAAGTAAAGTGTCTTGAAGAAACTTGCAAGGCTGGTAGATGACAGCACTAGAAGTTTGTTGTTGTTGTTAGATGCAGTAGAGTCACCACCAACTCAAAATGGCCTTATGCAAAACAGAAAGAAACACTGTCCGGCACTGCATCAGTCTCACAATGTTTGCTATGCTTGAGCCTACTTTGCTGCAACTAATTAATGTATTAATCCATCTCCTTGGGGGGTCTTTCTCTTTTTCACTGACCCTCTACTTTACCAACAATAATGTCCTTCTTCAAGGACTGGTCCCTCCTGATAATAGAACTGTTGTTGTTGTTAAGTGCCGTGGAGTCAGTTCCGACTCATAGTGACCCTGCACAGGGTTTCCAAGGCTGTAAATCATTACGGGAGCAGAATGCCTCATCTTTCTCCCGCGGAACAACTGGTAGTTTCGAACTGCCGACCTTGTGGTTAGCTCCCCGATTTGTAACTACTATGCTACCAGAGCTCCTTGATAATAAAACTAGCAGTACCTATATTACCCAACTATATGGAGTCCTGGTGTGGTGCTGTGGGTTAACACATCAGACTGCCAAGCTATTTGAACTGCAAGGTCGGCAGTTGAAACTCACCAGGTGCTCCTCGGAAACCCTATACAGGGTTGCTATGGGTCGGAACTGACTCTGCAGAACTTCACAACAACAACAACATATAATTCATATAGATCTATCAAGTCAAATGATATACTCCAATATCATGCCTAATCTCTTAAAAACTATGAATGATCTTAAAAATAAGGGAAAGTGTCTGAAAAGCAGTTTTCCAAGACATACTTCAGGAAATAATGATTAAGACAGGATCAGATGCCTTTTGCTTTGCATGAAGTAACTCTCAAGGAACTGGAATGATTTTTTCAAAGGCAGTTATTACAACGGACTGAAGGTAGAAGTACATAATGGGTACTTAAATATAGTTCAGCACTTTTAATTATTTTTTAATGATCATTTCAATAATTTTCCAAGGAGATCTGGCATAATCAACCAACCAAAACTTCCACTATTTCTTGCATATTACTAGTCTAATTTAAGCCTTTGCTGCAAGTTTAATTAGCATTCAAATGAAGTAGACGGTCCTCTGAGAACAAGGGCTGACAGCATATGCAAAATAAGATCTAACCAAACTCTTTCAGTTGGTTTATGTACTAATTTGGAGAAAGTGTAAAAATGCAATAGCTTTGTGCAGAGTGAGGCACCCTTAGAATCTCCCAGGTTCTTGTGTAGAAGAGTCCGATTTCCAAGGCTAAAGGAAGCATTATGTCACTAGCATGCACCCTATCAGAAAAGAGCAGTGCTGCTTCTCAGTGGAGGTTCTGGACCAGGACCATCTGCCTCACTCTGGGGCTTATTTAGAAACCAAAACAGTTGTCATTAAGTTGACCCAACTTATGGTGACCGCATGTGTCAGAGTAGATTGTTCTCCAGAGAGCTTTTAATGGTTGATTTTTAAAAAGTAGATGTTCAGGCATCTCTTCCATGGTGCCTCTGGGTGGATTTGAACCAACAACCTTTTAGTTAACAGCTGAATACATTAACATTTTACAATACCCAGCGACTCCTGGAGCTTGCTTAGAAACAAATTATGCTTTCTCAGAATCTCTGGATGTGGAGGCCCAGGACTCTACACTTTAACAAGTTCTCCAAGTAGTTTTTACTCCCTCAAACCCACTGCCACTGAGTTGCTTCCAACTCATAGAAACCTCACACAGGGCTCCGAAGACTGTAAATCTTTACGGGAGCAGATAACCTCTCCTTTCTCCCATAGAGTGACTGGTATGTTTGAACTGCTGACCTTGCAGTTAGCAAGCCAATACTTAACCCATAGGGCCACCCTGTGCAGTTTTTAAGCACATTAAGTTATGAGACACAGTGCCTTAGGGTATACTGGAAAAATTCTCAAATGCTCTTTGAGGCAATGCAAGTGACTCAACTGGTAACCACCCTAAGAACCACCCCTGAGATCAGGAAGGTTTGCAAACTGACACCAGAACACTGTCTTTCTTCTGTAATTTAGGTAACCTCCAATATTTCTGGTTGTGGCACTGTAGGATCAGCACTGGACTGTGAACCACAAGTTCAGAAGTTCAAACCCATCAGCTGCTTCTTGGACACCCTATAAAGTTTAGCTGTGAGTTGGAACCAACTAGACGGCACTTAACAACAACAATATAGCAAAGTTTGTTTCTCCTCCTTGCATGTACTTGTTGTTGTTGTTAAGTGCCGTCAAGTCAATTCCGACCCATAGCGACCCTGTATAGGGTTTCCGAGGAGCATCTGGTGAGCTTGAAACACCGACCTTGCAGTTCAAACGGCTTTGCATTAACCCACAGTGCCACACCAGAACTGTCTAAAATATGGTCAAGTAACAAGTTTCATCTCTCAGTATGTATAATCACTTAAGTGTCCTCTTAAGCAAAAACAAAGATAAAATGCAGAAAAAAAAAAAACAAGGGTATAGTTCTTTTGTTTTCTCATCTCTGCTCTTTTCCCTGTTTAGTTCTTTCCTTCCCTCAAGTGTGCTTGCTGATCTATTTTTATTATTGAGAGATGGATGCAATATAAGGGATAAATTAGAAATGATAATACGCAGCTATTCCACATTTCACACGTTGTTAAGCAAATTTGCACTGTTTGGGGGCACGGGTACTAAAGCTTCTCAATTTCCAGTCCCTGCTGCTATTGGAACACATTGAAAGGCCATTTTAGAGTGTTAAGGTTATGTCATTCCAAATACACCACTGCCCAAAAGGGATAATTAAAATGCATTGTGGTTGGTACACCGATTTTATGAAAATGATTTGATATCACCAATCTGCCTGTTTTTAACTTGGGCTAGTTTGTGTAGGATTGTGTGTGTGTCCTTGTTTTCCAGTGTTTCACTCTCTTTCTCCCAGTTTTCTTTTATCTCTGAGCACTCCTTAGTTGCCTTGTCTGATATTTTATCATTGTTCTCTTCCTTAAACATTGGTATTTTTCAAACTTTCTCTTACTTTTTCTTGAGCTTCTTATGAAGTCAGTTTCACTATATACTGGCTTCCCAAACATTTACCTAAGGTTCCATTCTCTCTAATGGGCTAGACTATTTCTAATGGCACACCCTGGATTTCCACTTGATGGCCTGGAAATAGTTCTTACTACACTTGGCTTCCAATTTCACCACTATCCCAAGCACTCATTTGCTTCCATTCCTTGAATATTCTATGTCTTTTCTTTCTTTTTTAGAGTTTTTATTGTGAATTGAGTAATAGTTTACATGGGAGAACATCAGATTTATACTCATCATTTCATTACCATGTTACAATCTCCACAGTGCATCATCATTCAGTAGTTCCCTCTTTTTTTTTTTTTTTTTTTTTTGATGTATACAAAAACACTCATAATCATTTAAACAACCAAAGGGCACATTCTGCAAGCCTGCTTCCTGGCTGCCAGCACTCAGCCTTTCTCTTTCCATGAGTCTAGAATCCTTAGCTGCTCTCTCTCTCCATGTCCTCATCTCTGCCTCCATGACTTTGCTATTTCTTTTAGCTCATATTTCTTAGTCTTCATTGAAAATGTTGTCCCTTCCATTTAAAAAAAAAATTTTTTTTAAATTAAAATCATCTGGGAAACTTAAAAAAAAAAAAAAAAAGATATATAGAGTCCACACAAATCAATTCAATCGCTAGAGATAGAGTCTAAACATCAACATTCAGGTGGTTCTGATGTACATTGTAAACTGAATACTGCTGCACTAGACTCTAAACTCCTGGAGGACAAGGATCATCTTTTTTTGATCACTACTGTACATACCAAAAGACTCTAGGTGGTGCAAGGAGAGTTGATGGTTTGAACCAACTCAGTGTTATAACAGAATAAAGCCATGGTGATCTGCTTTCGTAAGATTATAGTCAATTATATACTATGGGGAAGGATGTCATGCTGGATAAGGTGGAGGGTCAGAGAAAAAGAGGAAGACCCCTAACGAGATGGACTGGCCAGATGGCATCATTGATGGACTCAAGTGTGGCAGCGGTAGTGAAGTTGGCCCAGGATTGGACATTGTTTCGTTCTGCTGTGCTTGGGGTCGCTATGAGTCGGTTCCGACTCGATGGCACCTGAGAACAACAACAACAACAACATATACTATGGAGAAGTTCTACTCTGTAACATATGAGGTCTTCATGAGTTCAAAACAGATTCAATGGTAATTATACATATATTTTTGTATACCTTTTAGCCAATATAGTTCCTGGTCCATAGGAAATATTCAAGAATATTTATTGAATTTTATTGATTAAATGATATTGGAAATACTCTAATTTTTGCTTTAGTATGGTTCTCTGGCCTCCTTCTCTCTACAGTCACATTTCTTCCTTTGTGCCTTAGCTTGTGCTAATTCCTTCTTCTAATAAAATACCTGTTTTCTCATTCATTGGGTTCACTCCTATTCAGTCATCGTATTTCCCGGGGAATCTTGTGAGTACCTCCAGAAGGACAATGTCCATACTCTGTTGTTCTTTAGTACTTTGTACTTACTTTTACCCTTGTTGTTGCTAAGTGCCATCAATTGGTTCCAACTCATAGTGGCTGGTGAGTTTGAACCACCAACTTTGTGGTTCAAACTGACCTTGTGGTCTCAGTGCTTTATCCCACAGTGCCACACCAGGACTCAGCTTCTACCATAGTGCTTAACTAGTTATCTTGAAGTGATATTAAGTACTTCACTAATTTTGAATCCCTCAAAGTCCTTGATTGTCTCTTGTTTCTTTGAACTGCTTATCTTTCTCTATCTTTTATTTTGATTCTTGACTTCACCATTGATTTGGTCCTCCTTCTTCCTACCCAAAATTAATAATCAAAGATGTGAAAAAGCATTGATTTATACAAGGGGATGGTCATTTTAGAGTTATTTACAATTATGTATAAGACAAACTCTAGAAATAATCTCAGAGTCTCACAACAGGAAGTTGGTATAGCATATCCATAGATCAGAATATTATACAACTTAAAAAAAAAAGCAGGTTGTAGAAGACAGTATGTTAAAGATTTATATGATACATCATTACATGAAAAAGCAAGCTCTAAAATATACATATAGTATGATGCCAGTTTTGTCAAATAAGCTCTACATGATACATATAACAAGATAAGACAGACTATATGACAGTGGTGATTTCTGGATGGTGAAATTTATATCTTTGTGATTTTATGTATTTTCCATTTAGAAAAAAAGTTTATGTTTTACTTTTGTAATCATAAGAAGCATAGTAAAGTTTTGAAAAATGGTGGCATTGATTGATTATAAAGAAGTAGGTTAACAAAGAGCAGAGCTACCTTTTTCCTCTGTAACTTTTTTCTCTATTTCAAATATTTGGAACTAATGGGGTATAATGACTAATTATTTACATTTACACAAAGCAGTTTTTCAGACTACCCGTACCACTTGTATCCTGTAAGTAATGAAATCCATTTTGTTCCTTTTGAACTTTGAGAACACATTATTGTTATACAGAATTGTGTATCATAATTATTTCTATACTATGGAATTCACCCTGGACAAATGTTATTTAAACTATACTCATGACCAATGTTTAAACTCCTACTGGCTTTGCATTTGAAGGATAGTAGTACTTACCTTCTTGCAGACAAAGTCACCAGGTGAATAGATAGTAGATTTCAACTTCAGTAACATGTCGTAAATCATCTGTGTATCACAACCCTATGTAAAGAGAAAAATAATTCTGATAGATGCGTCCAAAAACTCAAAAGACACATACAATTGATTTTAAAAGGCAAAGGAAATAAAAAGTCACAAGCATTATCTATGCTAGAGCTGAATTATTAATAGAAATTGATTTGGGGTCCCAAAATTTAGGGAAAAAAATATAGCACTGTGGCAAGTGTTTGGTTATTGGTCAATTGGATATGGGTTTTAATCCTGACTACACTACTTATTGCTTTGTAACCTCTCATGTCTTTACATGTAAAATGAGGATTAAAATATCATATTTGTAAAGTTAAACACTTAGCATGGTATGTAATCAATGATATGGTGTTGACAAAGAGTATTGAATATATTGTGGACTGCTAGAACAAACATCTGTCTTGGAAGAAGTCAGATAGAATGTTCCTTAGACACAAGGATGGAGAGAATTCATCTCATGTACAAGAGAAAGTAAAAAAAAATCCATACTCTGACTGTAGAATATGTTTAAATAAATTTTTAGAAAAGACAAATACAACATTTTAAAAAATAATCTCCTTGCATTTCAAAACTTTGTCCATCTGTCCATCTGTCAACAAAGTTTGTATTCCCATATTAAAGAATGCTTCAGAGCTGCATGCCTGAATAAATCACTATCTTCATTTCTTCATCAGAGGTGAATCTTCTTCCTCGAAGGACTGCTGTCCAAGGACCAAACAGGTGAAATCTGATGGAGCAAGACCAGGACCATATAGAGGATGCTTTAACACCTCACAACAAAGTTTCTGCAGAGTATCAATAGTGTGGGTAGAGGTGTGTAAATGTGCATTGTCATGCAAGATCACAACTCCCTTGGATAGCAGTCCTCTGTGTTTAATACAAAGTTTAGGTTTCAGCCCTTCAGTGAGCATATCACTATCATGAGCACTGTTGATTATTGAACTTTTCCTGGTAGTATTCCAGTACTGGCCCTTGAGGATCCCAGAAACTATAAGCATCAATTTTGCAGCTGATGGTTAACTTTTGAACTTTTTCTGGTCAGTGATTGAAGATGTTTCCATTCTTTACTGTGCTGTTTACTCTCAGGCTTGTAGTAATGAATCTATGTCTCACCACCAGTAATGTTGTTGTTGTTAAGCACTGTCAAGTCAATTCTGACCCATAGCGACCCTGTATAGGGTTTCTGAGGAGCAGCTGGTATGTTTGAATTGGTGACCTTGTGGTTTGCAGCCCAGCGCATATCCTACTTTGCCACATAATTATAGTTTAGCATTATATAGTCTATTATGACAGACAGATAGAAACCTTTGCTTAGTATTTTACTCTTGCATACATCTTTTATACCATTGTTAGTTTTCATATTAACTTGGCAAACTTGTATGCTCTTCTCTCCCAACTTAATTGTCATCTTCTTAAAAATAGAGTAAAATGTACATAGTAGATACCAAAGCAATATCTATTGAGCAAATGACAGTTTCAATCCACTTTTTAGAAATAATTTGGGTACTGAGCTGGCAAGATGGCAGACTAGTCAGAAAGGCTATACAGACTTTCTACAACAAAGATAAGGAAAAACAAACAAAACAGATGAGATGATAGTCCTGAAACCCTGAGCTTCAGATGAAGGGATAGAGAAGTCAATTGAATCTAGCAAAGAAAGCTGAACAGATGTGGCAAAATAAAGAGACAGACTGGGTGACGTGTGCCAGCTGACCAGACATGGCACAGTCATCTTAAACTTTTGTGAGTGGCTTCAGAGACAAAACAGTTTATCGGCATGGGAGAAACATAGGGGTGGCTTGAAGAGATAAAGGTGATTCTTTTTTTCCCTCTGCTGAACTGTGCCAATTAGACCCATCAGGGTGAGTGGAGAACTAGCCACATTAACTGGAGTACCTGGATTCAGGTGGGCCCTGCTACTAGCCCATAGAGCCAGCCCTGGTCAGTCCTGAACTTGCCCTAACTAGTAGAGGCAGCTGAACAGACACATGGGAGTTAGAAAAAATAAAAAAAAGGAAAGAAAAGAGATTGGTTATCTGTGCTACTGCACCAGGCCATCATGAACTTTTATGGGTGTTTGTGAAGGCAAGAGGGCAGTAGGTGGTACAGAGACATAATCACTAACTGGTGGAGAGAAAAGTGAGAATTTTTCTTGTGTTCCACATGACCTTGGTGAACAGAGGTGTGGCCAGCCCCAACTTAAATACATTTCCAGTGAAGCTCTTGTATCAAATGGAGTGGGGGAACTAGCAGCACCATCACTAGTAAGCAGAGTTAGGTGTGGCCTGCTCCAGATTTGCAGAGCTGGTTCTGACCAGCCCTGGATTAGTAGGACCTCTTGTCCCGGATGCCCTCTGGGATGGAAATACCCTCATCTCCCAGCTGCTTTGGAGTCTGCATAAACTATTTCCAGGTTGGTTGCCAAGAACAGATAACATCTAGCCCAACAGGAATTCCTTCTAGGTTTGAGAGTGTTACCATCTCATCACTTGTCCACCTATGACATGAAATCTTTGGCTGGCAGGAGACCCCAGAGTTTATTCTCTTTGGGTCTGGTACCTGTCCTAGTTTTTTCCTTTTATTGTTTTTGTTTGTTTATTCTTTCTTATCCTTCTTCCTCTCTTTACTTACCATTGCTTTCTCTCCTTTCTATCTCTGCTTTCATTTTTTTCTTTTAATCCCGATTCTCTTTCCCAACAGCTTTTTCTTTTTCTCTTTCTTTCATTTTTCCCTCTTTGTTTTTCTTTACTACTCTCTGGATTCTTTCTCTTTCATTCATTCCTTTTCCTAATTGTGTTTAGATTTTTTTTTTTTTTTTTTCTTTTCTGAAAAATTTTTTTCCTGGTCCCTTTTTTCTCTTTTTGGCTTTCTATATTATTTTTCTATCTGGTGCCTGCCTTTTCCCCTTTACTATTTCCTGTTTTCACTTGTTTATTTATTTGACTTCTCTTTCTTGTGTCTGTGTTTTCTATTCTTGCCTTACCCGACAGGGAACAGCAATCATGCCCATACAACCCAGCCACAATTATACCCTCTACAACGTCACCCACTGGGCAAAAACCAATACTAGCTGCTATATACGAGATCAATGACAACAACATACCCATCCTAAACTAAGCTATACAAATAGCCAAACCCATCCTAAACTAAGCTATACAAACAGTGAATGGAGAGTGGTGCACTAGCTCTCATCCCGAATCACACACACCAGGAGGCATTTGGCGAGTGCCTAAGAATACAGCAACATACAATCATTAATTTAATACAAATACAATACTACCACAATAGTTTGAAAGCAGCAGACACATGAAGAAACAAGACAGAGTATCTCAAGCAAGTGATGAAGAGGAAGAACCATCAAGAGAGCAGAGCATGAACTCGGTGTAGAACCCTAACCAGAGAAGCAGCAACACCAGAGATGGAGGCAGAAGTGATGGCATGGAGAGATAGAGCTGCTGAAACTCTAGACTCATTGCAATTAATCATGATAACAATTATTCACTATTGAATCAAAAGAGTCCTATCCCCATCTCCTTTCACCAGACCCATCTAGACAAGACAAAAATTATTCAGTAGGGATTCTATCTTCTCCCGCACACTCTGAAACTAAACTTGCTCTTGAAAATTTGTAAGCCAGCTACTTAGTGCCTTTATAACCGCCCCCCCCCCTCATTTTAGGTAGCTAATTTGCCCGTTCCTATCAAACCTGTATACTGAGGAGATAGGCTTGATTCTTGGTGTGAAGATTCCTTCCCTCTTGGTTGGTATTTGAGATACTGCATCCATAAGTATAGGTCAAGTTCATCAAATTGTAGTAAGTTATACTTGCTTCCTTTATCAAATTTCTTTATATTCATGTAGTCGAGCTCTGGTCATCAAGTTATTGAAGCTAGGTCAAATGGGTACGATCTGCAAGTCTGGGTGTTCTTGTGCATCTCCCCTCACTTCATGTCAGCTGGATACTTCATGCTCAGCTCTAGACCTCCATGGCTAGATAAGTGCCCATGGAGGTCTAGAGGTCTAGAGTTTCCCCAGACTCTAGACCAACCAGCCCTTCCTCTTCTCTCTCTCATCTCAAGGTTGACAGGAGTCTATGGAACGTAGTAGATAGAACTCAGCCCATGTTTTCATTACTGACTTTTCCCCACATCCACTCACTGCAGACCAATGTGATTGCCAGTGAACTTACATGCTTGCTTGTGTGTTCCCTGAGTTTCAGTCTTGGTGAGGGGTTTGTCCTGAAGAGACTTGATTGCTTTCCTTGATGGCTCCCCAGAGAACAGCTTGCTTGTTCTTGTAATAGCCAAACAGATTGCCATTTTTGTATTTTCCTGCTGGTCTTTCTTTCAGGACGCATCTTCTGTTCCTCAAGCCGTTCCTGGCTGGTCTGCGTGTCCTTTCAAGTAGAACTGTCCCACCTCAGAAGGTTCTGGATGGGGATCAGCATTCCACCTATGGTCCTATACAATACAAGGCTCCACATTTCACTGGGCAAGTTCTAGAACCCCTTTTAGGTATTCCAATCAGTTATAGGCTGAAAATGTTTGCTTTCTAACACTTTAAAGAGGTCTTTTGCAGCAGATTTAGGGAATGCCATATGTCCTTTACTTTCTTGACTGCTGTATCCAGGAGTGCTGATTATGGATCCAAACAATATAAAGTCTTGGACAACTTCAATCTTTTCTCCATTTATCATGATATTATTTCTTGATCCAGTTGTGAGGATTTTTTTTTTTTTCCCACATTGAGGTGCAATGAATACTGTAGTCTTTGAGCTTCATCAGTAGGTATTTTAAGTCTTCTTCACTTCAGCAAGTAAGGTTGTGTCATCTGCAATGCTCTTCTTAAACAATATTCAGCTTCTCTTATACTTTCACCCAATACACAAAAAAGAAAAGAAACATTCTTAATGAACTGAAGTAAATTTTTTTTGAAGTAAATTATTTTTATTTTCTTATATATTTCTACTATGTCTTATGGGTTAACATATTTGCTAAAGCAAACCACCAACAAGT